CAGACGTTAGAAGCAGCCCCTAGTGAGGTCCCAGCTATTGTCCTAACGACAGAATTCAGTAGGGTTCTAGTAAGTCCCACATCGGTACCCAGTCATGGTGTAGTGTGAGTCTGGCATCATCACCCAATGTTTCTCTCTGAATTGCCCTATGAGCAAAGCAAACACAACACCAGTCCATGTGCAAGCTCTATCACCTGCCTTCTGCACCTTGCAGGCAGCAGTGAGATCCGAGCAGCCTACTGGAGTAAAAAACAACAGGCCCCTCTCTCCTTTGAAATCAAGTGTGGGGCAGGGATCTCCTGAAATAGCATCCAGGGCCAGAGTGCAAAGATGTAGGTAGGCTGTATCAGCCCACATATCAAGGAAACCCCAGTCCATATTCCCATCCACTCTTCATAGAAATATGTCACAATTTATTCCAGCCTGTTAACTTCTGTTCCAGGGACAACTGAACTAAATGGGAATCTTCCCATTGACTTTAATGGGCCTTGAATCATCTCCTTATTCTTTTTTCCAGTTATACTGGCATTCATCCTCAACTGAAAGGGCACAGCGCCGACCAACACGTCTGGAGATGACGTCAGCAGCTATTTCTCTCTGGTTCTCATATGCCAGGCTGAAGTCATCAGCTTAACTCAGACTAATTCTGTAGACACTCAATTCAGCCTCAGCAGAGGAAGCCAAGGGATAAGGCTGATGTTCTTTCCCAGGCCCTGCTGACAGGGTTTTGGGTTTTTGCCAAAGTTACAACCCCTTGGCCTGCTAGAGTGACCTGTGTTCTTGTCACACCTCACAAGCAGAGCAACACTGAGTCTGGTAGATAGTCATGTTGAAGACCTCAGTGGAAACCTCAGAGCACTGTAGAAAATAGCTAACATGACACAGGAGGTGCTCTTTCCTCTGAGCTAAGCAATGCATCAATATAATACTTGGAGGAGGAGCCATTTTTCAAAGGTATAAAACCACAAGAGCAGATTGTGGCCTATAAATCCATTCAGGGCCAAGACTTGCCATGCATAGATCTTTTCCCTTTCCAGCAAAAGGCAGGCTTAATTGCTAAACCCTCAGGAGGCCTTTCTGCATGGTCTGGGATGCTCTAGGGCACAGTCCCCCAGATTTTAAGGGCCCACAGCACTCTGGCAAGTGTAGGCCTGCTGATCAAGTGGATAATTACATCCTGCTTGCCTAACTTCATCCCTGTACTTCCAATGTAAGATGCTATTTTCCACTTCCCCTTTTAAAATCTGTGGCCCAGAAGTGGCTGCATTTCATCACCGGGTGAGGGATTTCAGTACAGGTCCGGATCCTCAGCAGACCTCCATTACCTACTTTTGAGCTCTGCTGATTTATACCAGCTAAGGGCCTGGCCCAGGGCCTGTTAAGTGCACCTGGGATCCTTTGAGACAAGAGGTATGCTGTTATTTACTATTATCAGTCACCAATATTATTATTGACTATTGGCTGCAATGATACCAAGACTTGAAGTTCCACTGAGAGAAAGGCAATGTATGCAGCTCTTTGCCTGCATCACACCAGATCCATTCTAGGGAAGCGCTGTACTGTCTAAACTACATGAGAGCTTCACTGCTTTGCAGCCAGCTGAACTCCTGCTTTGCAAAGCAGGCCCTGACCAACTGGAATGGAGTCAGAGCTCCCCCTTCTGGGAGTCGCAATCCTATCTTGTGACACAGCCTCCTGGTACAAATGAAGATACCAGTGCAGGGGCTCTGAGCTGGGAAACATTTTCAGTAATACCAGAAAGATTTTGCATTGCAAATAGACTTGTGCCTCCCATCCACACATACGGGAAATTAGATCCATATATGCTGCTGAGTGCTTTCTTTTTCTTTTTTTCTGTCCTGAATATTGGCTAGCTCCTTGATTTTTATTTTATTTGACTCTAGGAAGTTTGATTTTTGCATGGGGGTTTGTTTGTGTACACTTCTCCTCCCTTGACAGCCTCTTTTGATGTTTTATAGAAATCCATTTTTTGTTGTTCTTTCAGCATAAATTTCTCAGCCCTGTTGCATCAGATGTAAATATACAATGTACGCACATGCCCAGATAAACTCTAGAAATCCAAATCTATTTCTGGACATAGGCACACATGAGCACATATGCTTTTTTGTCTGAGCCAATTCCTGCAATGCTCAAGTGATGCTCATGGTGACGGTGATGGGAGTTTTGCCTGAGCAAAGACAACAGAATTTGACCCTGTGTTTTATAGACCATAAAGCACAGGAAAGATAATAATCAGTAATCAATAATAACCATTCATGGGCATGTTCAGTGCCACCCACCATTCACCATCTCTGCTCTGCTGGGCCATATGAGTACTTCCAAGATATTAAACACTGGATGAGTGGGGGTAGGGGAGAGTATGGATAAACCCTTCTCAATCTCTCTTGGGAGCAGCTCTTAGTTGCAGCGATGCATGTCTTAGTGCATCCATGAAATCCTAAATTTTAACAGGGCAGTCAGCTGGTTCATTAGATTCCTGCCCTAGGGGCTTACACAACCTCTTAACTAGGTCCTTGGAATGGTAGGCAAAGGAGGGGGACGGAGGGAGATGGTGGTTAGTGTATCTTAAACCAGTGACATCATCTTCCCTACAAATACCTGACCAGTGAGTTCATCCCTGAACTAGGGTGGGATGGGGAGTGCCTAAGTGCACTCTGATGGACTGCAGGGGTTTTGTCTTGAGCTCAGTGGGACCCTGAAACTTGAGTGCAGGTATCTTATGCACACACTGACATGTTCTCCCAGATTCTCTCTCATCCACATACATGCTGAGTCAAAAATAAATGCAACACAAGTAGAGCAGAGCATGTGTGATACCTGTTCACCATTCCCACAGACTCCAGCTCCAGCCAGGAGCCTGTAGGGTGCAGGATTGTTGCCTCTCAGATGCAATTCACTCTGCACCTATGGCTGAAGCTGGTCTGCCTTTCCTGTAGCAAAGTAATTGCTGAGTGCTGAGGTCATGGAAAGAGCAGTAAAAGGGGAGGGGGTGCAAACATTTTATGCAAAGGGCTTTGGAGGCAGACCCATGACTAGAACTGAAAACAAAGCTCAATCTATGCCATAGAAGAAAACTACATATCTAGAGGTCTGCAAACAGCAGGGGAGGAGGAAGGATGGAGTGGAAAAACTGCTTCTCAATTTGATCTGCACCATGAGAATGATAATATAGTTCTTGGTAGTGTATGTATGTGCAATGCGCATGTGAAAGACCAACATTGTGTGAGAGGACATAGGGAAAATTGTAAGAGTCCAGAATTGGTTGGGGGTGTGTGTGTGTGTGTGTGTGTGAGAGAGATAGAGAGAGAGAGAACTGTGTGTGCATTCATAGGGGGAACTGCATGTGTCCATGATTGTGTAGTTTGTGTCTGCATGTGAGAGAGAGAGAGAAAACAAGAGATTTTATGCCCGAGTGTCTTGTGTGTGAGGCTATGGGGATCAAAGTCACTAGCAGACCAGATCTATCTTTAAAAAGAAAAATAAATCTGCACATTTGCACCAAAGCCTTGCTCATCTCCTCTTTACTTGCAGAACCTGAGACTTCTCTTGCAACTCCTCCAAAAGCAGCTCAACTACCATTAATGAATTAATATTATATACTTAGATGGAGAACCAGGCTAAAACACAGGGAATCATTCTGTTCTCCCCAGTGCATCTGCTCCAGATGTCAATCACAGGGCTAAATCCATACATTAAGATTGTCAGCATTTTGTCTGCAGCTTCTTTGCTCCCTCTAATGCTTCTGCCACTGAAAAGTAAGCCCCCCAAATAATTTCCAGGCAAACAACCTCCCTTCTTCCTTGATTCCCTGCTTCCCCGCCGCCCCAAAAAAAAATAAAAAAACACAACCCAGTCTTGACTCTTCCATACCAATGCAAGCTGTGCTGGACCTCTAGGTGATGATGTAATGGGGGTGGATGTGCTCTTTCACCTTACCTCTCCTAATTCCCTACGGGCTGGGAAAGGCAAAGTTGAGCTCCTTACCCAGAATCTAGCAAGCAGCCTCACAGCTGAGCCTCTCATCAGTCTCCAGCTCTTCCTGAAGATCTCCGATCTGTAGCTCTCCCCCTTCACCATCACCCTCAACACCACCTCCCCCTCCACAACTCCCTCTGTTCCTTGCTCTATTTCAGTTTCTTCCCATTCCCATTAGAAGTAGAGGCAATCAACCCAGTGTGGGATTTAAAGCGACAGACTCTCCTTTTCCTCCAGGATTTGCCTGTCACTTGCACAAATGGAACAGTGGATTAAGTGGAGATGACACCATCTCCTTGGGGACATTGTCTTGGGTTGTATCAATTCTCTGACATATATGTAGAGCCATGCATTTTACCTCTCACCCCCCAGCCCTTACCCAGCTAGAAGGCTGCACCTTTCCTTCTATGCATTAGACAACGTACCTTGCACGAGCTACGTGATGCCATTGCGTGAGACATCCCCAATCCACAACCCCTCCGCCTTCATGTGCAAATTCCCTGGGTAGCCACAAGCTAGTTGCATACACACACATGCATGCACAACCCCCCCCCACCCCCCAAATAGGTTACAGGACTTTTGTCATAGACTCCCCATATGAACTCCATGCTATCCCAGAAGGGAGTGGGAAACAGAACCTGTAAGACAAACATGTGTGTGTGTGTGTGTGTGATGGGGGTGTGGGGTGTGTGTGTGTGTGTGTCTGGTGGGGGGGTACAAGGGGGAGTGTGTGTGTGTGTATCTGGTTGGGTGTGTGGAGGGGGGGAGGAGGAGTGTGTGTGTATGTGTGTGTGAGCGTGTGTGCGTGCTTGCAATGCCCCTGACTCCAGGCTTGAGGGAATGCAACTGCCCACAGGTCTAAAAATCACACGAGCCAAGTGGACACAAAGCAGGAGGGAGAAGCGAGCCCAGGTGCAGAGTGGCAGGGGGGGGGGGGGGGGCGTGGGGAGGGGGGGGGGGGGGGGGGTGGTTTCGATGCAGAGGAAACGCAGTCTCCCCCTTACCTGATGTTAATGTTCCTCTTCGGCGGAGATCGGCTC